GGCATATATATATATATATATATATATATATATATATATATATAAGTGAACATAAGGTTATAGCGCGACGTCTGTTTCATGACTATATGCGATCGTCAGACTGTCGCCTTTAAGTGTTGACTTTTATGTTCACTTTTATATTTACACACGCTGTATCTCTGATATTGAGCACTTTATCCCATAAATATAGCACACCTTAAGACTATATTTCTTCATATATATATATATATATATATATATATATATATATATATATATATATATATATATATATATTTAAAAAAAAACAGACCACTTTAAGGTAACATTATAATAATTTATTTCACCAGAGTCTTTTAAAAAGGACGCCAGATCATCAGATAGCACTTCCACCAAAGAAATGAAACGAAAAATGAGATTAAAATTGATGGGTAGTGTACGTTTTTGTAATTTAAGAGGGGGTGTGAGAGGGATAGTTAAAGAGACATGGTAGAGTATAGGGAGGGGTTAATTTCATATCTCTCTCAAGTGTACTTTATATTGGGGTAGGAGGAGTGACCAGACATTGACCTATTTAGACGGTTAACTTAACGGAAATATTGACATGTCTGCATTTGTCTTTATACATTATGAAATGGACAAAGTCCGACAATTATTTTAAGACATATTTTTATGTTTATATATATTTTTATATTATATATATGTTTTTTATGTATCTATAAAAAGAACGTATAAGCATAAAAATGTCTTAAAATATTTGTCTTTATATATCTGTGTAGATATTTATATATATCACTGTATATATTTGTGTGTGGGAGTGCATGTGCCTTTGCACCATTAATATAAAGAAAACAATTACACATGATGTGGGATATTAAAACCCAATCTACATACCTTATCATATGCCAATGTCTCTGTGAATGGATATATATATATATATATATATATATATATATATATATATATATATATATATATATATATAAAGAAAGAACAGTAAGATATATAATCCGGTGTTCTTATAGATATTTTTATTTTTACAAAATAGTGCTCAATGTAAATTTACAGAGCATAATATTATAAATTAATTGATTTAAAAATTTTTCCGTTACACAGTTCTAACCGTGTTTCAAAAATAGAAAGCTAAAAAGCCCCGAATTTAATTTTGAAATTAAATTAAAGCGTTAGTTCATTTTCATCCTCAAGCGAATTTTTTAAAACCCAGTAATTTTAAAAAGTTACTCCAAAATTCGCTTGAGGATGAAATGGAACTAATGCTTTTAATTTAATTGCAAAATTAAATTCGGGGCTTTTAGCTTCTATTTTGAAACATGGTTAGAACTGTGTAACGGAAAAACCATATTTTAAATCAATTAATTTTATATATATATATATATATATATATATATATATATATATATATATATATATGTGTATATATGTGTGTGTGTGTGTGTGTGTGAACGTGCCTCTCTTCGCAGATATATTTCCCCGGCGACAACTAATTTGCATATTTAATAACGCTTCCCAGAATCCTCACTTCCGTTTTTGGCGACTTGGAATTCTGATTCACCTTATGGAAGCTGACCATTTTCTTTTTTGGGTTGAACAATTTTCGAATATTTTTTCCTTCTGCCGAGAGGGTGGAAAAGAACCTCAATAATCGTCTATTTAAAAACGCTATCAATATTTATGAACAAAAAAAAAAATACGATGCTGAAAATTAATGAATCAAGTTCCTGGTATTTTTTTCTTACATTTTATTTTCTCTATTTTTCTTGGATTTTATAACGCGTCTATTATAAAGCTAAACTATTAAAAAGTCATAGATTCTACGCTCAGTGGGGTAAACGAGGAAAAAACCTCTTAGCTTCAGACATGAAAAATTTAACTAATTACCAAAAAACGCTAATGTGCTACAATATGATTTTATTCTAGTGTAAATGACTTGGAAAACTATTTTTCCTTAACATGTTTAATTTATTCTTCTACTCATTCGACCCGAAGCAAGGCAATAAAGCCACCAAGAAGTAAGGGGTTCTGGAGTGTGAACGAATATGAGAAAAATATTATTCAGGAGAGGGGAACAATAAAAGAACAGAAATTAAGAAGAAAGAAGATAACGATTGACGTTGCATTTAAATTTTTGAAGATCAAAATTGCCCGGAAAGCCAGAAGCTGAATGAGTGTTCCACAAGCAAGAAGTGCGAGAAACAGACTATTAGCATATAAATTACAGTTACATCTATAGCCATTTCGACTGTAAAATGGTGACACCTTACCGCAATTGTATTGCGCCTGAATGTATAAATTCTAAGTAATGTAGAGGAATGTTCATCGGAATAATAATCATGGAAGTATTTATAGAAAAGGTAAACGGAAGCTGCGTTACGGCAGTGGGAAAGTGGCTGAAGCCGAGATGCCAGATCAAGACCAATAACTTTGCAGATTCTTTTTTGGATTTTATCAAGAATCTCTAAATACATATCAGAAGCACCGGACCGGATTTGACAGCAATATTCAATGCACGGACGAATGGTAGACTTATAAATGTGTAGTATAGATTCTGTCGAGAGAAAATGTTTCGTATGACACAGTGAGCCAACTTTCCTGGCAGAAAACCTAACAACTGATTCATTATAATCATTCCACTTCAGAGGAAAACGTTAAACCGAGAAAAGGCAATGAGTAATTCTCCTGGAGGTTAGCATCAGCCATACTGTTGGAAGGTTAAAAATAGATTCTGTCGAGAAAGAATGTTTTGTATGACACAGTGAGTCATCTTTCCTAGCAGCAGACCTAACAACTGATTCATTATAATCATTCCACTTCAGAGGAAAATGTATAAACCGAGAAAATGCAATGACTTATTCTCCCTGGAGGTTAGCATCAGCCATACTTTTGGAAGGTAAAAAATAGATTTTGTTGAAAAAAAAATGTTTCGTATGACACAGTGAGCCATCTTTCCTAGAAGCAGACCTAACAAGTGATTGATTATAATCATTCCACTTCATGTCAGTGGAAAACGTTAAACCGAGAAAACGCAATGAGTAACTCTCCTGGAGGTTAGCATCAGCCATATTGTTGGAAGGTAAGAAATGGTTCTGCTATGTGATTGATTTGGAAGAGAAGTAATCAAGTAATTCTACGTCAGCTTATAAAATGATATCCAAATTATGGGGCAAAGATCAGGATGTGGGCTAGCAATAACCCTCAGCAATCAACTCTGGAATCGGGAAGAACTGGTTAGAGCTACGAACCTCTTCTTATGAATGCCAGAATTTACTGGGAAATTCCCCTCTCTGACATTTAAAAGAATAAATCCTGGAACTTGTTTTGAAGATTGGCAGAAAAAAAGAAAAACTAATACACCATTATTATATTAAAACATGGAATGTCTACAAGTGGATCAAATTGTCGAGCACCACTTGGACATAATGAAAATAATCTCAAGGATTTAAATATGGAACTCAAGAATGAGATCTGCATAAAACTAGAAGTATGTTCTTATGATACACCTAGTCACACTGGTGGATTTTAATCAGATGCTCTGCAAATCTGGATTGCACAACAAACATATGAAAATTATTTCAACAATGACCTCTTCTTTATCTGTCTATATTTCTGAGATAAGATATTATATAAATATTTACATTATTCGGACTATCTTTGTCGCCATATTTATTGCAATATTTCGGCCTTTCAGTATCTGTCTATATTTCTGAGATGAGGTATTATGTACACTATTTACATTATTCAGACTATTGTCCTCATCTTTGTCGCCATATTTATTACAATATTTCGGCCTTTCAGTATCTGTCTATATTTCTGAGATGAGGTATTATGTACACTATTTACATTATTCGGACTATTGTCCTCATCTTTGTCGCCATATTTATTACAAAGTTTCGGCCTTTCAGTATCTGTCTATATTTCTGAGATGAGGTATTATGTACACTATTTACATTATTCGGACTATTGTCCTCATCTTTGTCGCCATATTTATTACAGCGTTTCGGCCCTTCAGTATCTGTTTATATTTCTGAGATGAGGTATTATGTATACTATTTACATTATTCGGACTATTGTCCTCATCTTTGTCGCCATATTTATTACAAAGTTTCGGCCTTTCAGTATCTGTCTATATTTCTGAGATGAGGTATTATGTACACTATTTACATTATTCGGACTATTGTCCTCATCTTTGTCGCCATATTTATTACAGCGTTTCGGCCCTTCAGTATCTGTTTATATTTCTGAGATGAGGTATTATGTATACTATTTACATTATTCGGACTATTGTCCTCATCTTTGTCGCCATATTTATTACAAAGTTTCGGCCTTTCAGTATCTGTCTACATTTCTGAGATGAGGTATTATGTACACTATTTACATTATTCGGACTATTGTCCTCATCTTTGTCGCCATATTTATTACAAAGTTTCGGCCTTTCAGTATCTGTCTATATTTCTGAGATGAGGTATTATGTACACTATTTACATTATTCGGACTATTGTCCTCATCTTTGTCGCCATATTTATTACAGCGTTTCGGCCCTTCAGTATCTGTTTATATTTCTGAGATGAGGTATTATGTATACTATTTACATTATTCGGACTATTGTCCTCATCTTTGTCGCCATATTTATTACAAAGTTTCGGCCTTTCAGTATCTGTCTACATTTCTGAGATGAGGTATTATGTACACTATTTACATTATTCGGACTATTGTCCTCATCTTTGTCGCCATATTTATTACAACGTTTCCGCCCTTCTGTATCTGTCTATATTTCTGAGATGAGATAGTATGTATGTACTCTCCAGCCTTCATCAGGTGGTTGGAATATCAAACTGAACCTTTTATTTCGCTCACTGGTGTAGACTGTTCCAGTTCCACGTGCCATGTTTATGAATGTCTGTACATACTGGAAATTCTCCTTTCTGACATTTAGACAAGATGTTTTCTTTCCTCATTTTCTTTCACTCCTTCACTAATTTTCTGAGTTTTTTTCTTTACCTTTAATGATTTTAACTTTTATTTTTCTGTTCCATTCTATTCTTCCTTCTGTCCTTTTTATTCCTTTTTCTTCACCCCACCCCAACCTTTTTCAATGTTCATCTTGTTCATTATCTCTTTCTTTGTCGTTCTCTTCTTTTCGTCTCTTTCTTTATTTTTCCGCCTCCTTACTAATTTTCTTTCTTCTTTTTTTAACCTTACCATCTTTCATTTTTACTGCCTTTTCTCGGTTTATTTCTTTCTCCTACATACCTTCATTCCTTCCTTTTATGGATAAATTGACGGTTCAGGCGTGGAGGAAGAAATAATGTACTTATCTAGGTTGTTGGTTCTTTTTGACTAAAAACTGTGACATTTTTACTATTTTTTACTATTATTTTAGTTACAGGATCTCGTGACTTATTACCACATGATTCCTGAAGTGGTTATAAAGGAAATATTTTTTCTCCTTTTTTTTCTCTCTTTTTGTAACTCGGTATTTGTTGTTGTGTCTGAATGAGTGCATGTCAGTGTGTGTGCTTGGGATGAATGAATGCGTTATACTATTACAGTCCCGCCTTGATTTCGCCCAGTGAACTGATGTTTCTACCACATTTAGTGATTGGGGTGGGGGGTTATTACTAATATTATTATTTTCTTTAGTTTCTTGTAAATAGTTTTGTATTCATATTTGTAAATACTCACTGGGGCTGTTTTTTTTAGAATTGTTGTTTTATTTCCCTCACCGCACAGACAATGAATTGTAAATATGGGGACTAGTTAGTATTTTCATAGAGACTAAGAGGTATTATGGTGATTATAGTAAGAAAGGTACGTATGAATGTGTTGTTTTGGTGTAAGGAATATTGTTTGTACGATTGGGTCAGTGTTTGTGGCTAGCTAAGTTATAGTTAAGACAAAAGAAGACCGTCCTTTCTCCAATCTCTCCTTCGGCCTTGTGCCACATTTCTGAATTAAACAGAATAAATATCTCTCTTCTTGTAACTCGATGCAAGTTATCAGACGATTAAGCTACGACGCGGAAGGAAATATTTTTTCGTGACTTACTTTTACTTCTTTCCTCGGCCTGCACCTTCTCTGGGTGTTTTTTTTGGGGGGGGTGAGATTTTCTTTCTTTATTTCACGATATTTTCTCTCTCCATTATTTGATATTTATTCTTTTCTTCCTTTTCCATCTTACCTTTTATTATCTCTTTCTCTCTTTTTTTCATTTTTTTTTATTTTTATGTTTCCTTTGTTTTACTATTTTTTTTTTAATTTTATTCCTTTTTTTCTTTTTTTCTTTCACCATTTTCACTTTCACATTTTCTTTCTTTTTCATTTTTTTTTTCTTTAATTATTTCAGTTATGTGCCATGCGTGATACACGCTTAGGCGATCATGTATTTTCGATTCATGACTGACGAGCAGTAGGTTGACATTTCTTTCAGCGGTAGACCAGTTGCCATCCAAGGCTATAGAACCCGGTGTGTCCTGCTATTTACCTATAGCTGGAGGAAGAAGAAGAGGATTAATACTTTTCCCAAGGGTATTAGCACATATGTGAATGTAATGGATTCGACTGGAATTCGAACTCGGCTCTCCGATTCCTCAATCCGAGCCATTACCGCACCGCGCTTACTTATTTAATACTTTTATATTTTTGTTTACCTTTAGGTTTATTCACCTTCCTTTATTTTAGCATCTTTCTAATTTCTCATTCATCCATTTTTTCCTTAATGATTCCTCGTAATATTTCATTCTTTTCATCGTTTGATTTGGTTTGGTTTGTTTTACGGTATATCAACACCTCAATGGGTTATTTAATGCCAACAAAATTTTTATTGCTGCTAATATTTTGTTTTGTCAAAAATCAATTTCTGGTAATATTTTTTCTTCAAAAATGTATTGGTGGTAATAATTTTTTCCGAAAAGTATTGCTGGTAATATTTTTTCCTCAAAAATATATAGCTGGTAATATTTTTTCCTCAAAAATATATAGCTGGTAATATTTTTTTCAAAAATGTATTGCTAGTGTTTTTTCTTTCAAAAACATATTGTTTGTATTTTTTTTTTTTTTAATTTATTGCTGGTCGTAGTTTTTTTCTACAAAAATTTATTGCTGGTAATAATTTTTTACAAAATATTTCTGGTATTAAAACCTATTTTTACACTTTCATAGTGTTTTTACCACAGTTTAGGGGTTAACTATTTGCCCATAGCTGGGACCCTAACAGGTCACCCAGGTCAGGGTGGACCTGGGAACACCAGCAATTAAGAGGCGGTTCCACGCTCCTCAAAACCTCCTGATCAGAGGCCTTGCTGTTGGACGTAGTTTATCATCTTACCCATGACGCGGATGTAGTTTATCGTCATACCCAGGACGTCTTTTCATCGACTGTTTAAATATTCTTCTCTCCTTCAATTCGCTCCACATTTTACTTCATTCAATTCTTTCTTTCTCTTCTTCCTTTCGTTCGCTTCTTCACGCCATCTTTTCAGAAGCTAAATGTCTTACGTTGGCAAC